GTCAGATATGACTGAGTGACTTTCAGTTTCGCTTGCCAACATTTAGGGACTTGGAAATTAAATGTTGTCCTGAGTCTGTGGTATAAGCCTCTGACACTCAGTCTTTTTTTCTAAAACCTTTTGTTTTCTGAGAAATAGACTGCTGGGAACTGATCCTTGCCTGAGTCCTCTTGTTCTGGGCCTGCTATACTGTTAATCTTTGCCAATTCCTGCTTCTTAGGGGAAAGACTGAGGATATAGGCTTGTTTCAAATCAGAATCATTTTTTGCATCCTGGATGTTACTACCCATACCACTCATGTGGCTATACATTTCTCCTACAGACTAGTAATTATCAGCTTCATTTTTCTCATCTCTAACATACCAGGGGGTGAGAACAGTGAATTATTATCACAGTAAATAGCTACTGATGAATAGCTAGCTACTGGAAAGGAGGTGGGTGTACCAGAATCTCTGGAGAACTAAGAATAGCCAAGCAAAATTCCCACTAAATCTCCAGGTAATTCCAGTGCACCATCTTCTTTTCCTCTAACTTGAAGATCATTGATCTTGAGATATTTATGTCCTAGTTTTACCTATTGAGTCAAAGTCCTTGAGTGGCAAAACCTTTTCAAACAAAACTGAGCTCTCAGTGCCTCCTTAGAAGCTGTGATTGGGAAACCAGGTCATTCCCCAGTTACCCTCACCAAGCTTATTCCCAATACAGCCTACGTCTTCTTGGATCCTTTGAGGCATGTCCTATGACTAAACTGTAAGTGTTGGTAACAGCTAGAAATCATCCAAAAGTCCTTCATTTATAAAGAAATACATTAAAAATAATGATCTACAATTATAAATACTGCACTACAGATACTATTCAGTAATGAAGAATATTGTGAGTTGGTAAAATTCTTACAATCCTTAATCTTCCTCTTATTACTGTACTATCATATAAGAATATCAGCAGCTACTTTGAAAATCAATTTAGCATCTCACTTCATTTCAATGTATACAACTTGATTATATAAAATGCTTTCCTATGTTTTCAGTTTCAAAACAACTATAACAAATCCAGTCATTGTAACTTAAATGCAATATTTTGATATGTGTGGGTAGTCTTGAATAAATTTACACCAAAGTAATATAGAAAATACTTCATTGTTTAGTATGTATTCACTCACTAAAGAAAGTGTTTTTTTTAAATTAGTTTTTTATTTAACAGTTTTTTTAAATAGTCTGAGAGTGATATTTATTGTTTGGTGGCTTCAAATTTTTAAAAAGGACACAACCTTATTGGAATTTTAGCCTTGGAAACATAAAAAGGCAAAAGAACAGAAAGAACTGGACAAATATGACATTTTCAGAATGAGATTAAGATATATTTCCCTTGGCTCATCTATAAAGGAAACTGTCATGGTGACAACTGCAGAGGTAGAAACTCTCTCTAGTTGAAAATCCTCTTGGTTTATAAGAATTACCCAGACCTGGTTTCAGAGCAGTTCTGCAACTTATCAGCAGAGAAGCTCATGGTAATATCTTTTCTCACAGCATCTCTTTCCTCATAGACACATTGGGGGCTACCAAAATTTTAGTGGAGTGTCATAAAGATTAGAGATCATTTATGAAGAGACCTTGACACACAAAAGGCACTTAATCAGTGGTAAATATTGTCTTCTAGGTCTTATTAAAGGTATATAATTCAGTTTCATTTTCTTTTATTTAAAGACTGAAATCTGAGTCAAGCCGATAACATTTTTTGTTGAATGCCTCCTATGTTTAAGAAGTTAAGCAGTAAGGCAGTGAGCAAAGATGGACATGTAACATGATGAGAATTTATAATCTAGCTGAAGAAGACAAAATCACATTACAAGATAACTGACCGTCCAGAAGCATGAATTCCTAGTTGGGTACCTGGTACTTTGTACTCCTCGGTAAACACATATTGAAAACTAAGTGAATGAGTTAAGGGGAGAGGGGAGAAATTTATCTTCAGTTGGTCTTGGGGGTTTCATTGAAGAGGTAGAATTTTAAACTGATGCCTTGAGCAAAATATACTTGTATAAATAGACAAGAAAAGGAAAAACATTGTTTCCAGTAAGAGTAAAAAATAAAAATGGAAGTTCAGTTCAAGAAATTGTAAGCAGATCAGTTTGGCTGAATATAATAAAATAATTATTTTCATGGCCTATTCATAAGAAGAGTGAACCACCTTTAAATTCATGGAAGACACATTCTCTGAGAAGCATTTAAATTGTGTCTTGCAAGTCATGCCTTGAGAGAAATTGATGCTGGATAAAAAAGTGTTTTGGCCTAATAGTTTTACTCAAGTAAAAACACATAAAGACTAGCTAGAAAATCTGGTTTGGAATCATTGATGAAAGCTGCCTCTGGTTAAACACTAAGATTACAACTAACATTCAGTGCCCGTTTGCAATCATTTCAAGACCCAGGTAGATGTGTTGCCTGATTTCAGCACCTCTTACATACAGAATTTTCCCTATTCAAATAGGTGAGTTCCCATATTGGTCTTCCACCATCCTTTCTCTCCTACTAAATCTATCTTTGACCAACCTCATTTTTCTCTAAGCTAGCAGAAGCAGCTTTGTTTTTGCCATTTCTGATGGAGCTTTCATAAGATAACTGGTATCTGTGCCAAGGATGCTTCATTCCTCCTTTTCGAAGCTGCTGCTCCTCAAAGTGGTACATACAGTTGGATTTTGTGTGAAGATGGGGGCATACCATGTTGTTTGGACCCCAAAGCAGTACTCCTTGTGCTCAGCTTTTGAAAAAGTTTTTCACAGAGCCCTTTCATTGATCCTTCCCCTCTTTTACTCTTCCAAGCAACTCCAATGATTCTCCCAAACAAAAAGGAACACTTTAAATAAACAGACAAACACAAGCAACACACAACAAACCATACTTATTTCATTGAATCAAACAACAGTTCAGATATAGTTGTGATATTATACTTTCTCTTTTCATATACAGACAATGAATGTGCCATCACTCTTTCCCCTAACAGAGTTTCTAACCTTGACTTCCTACATACCCCTCATATGGGTATAATATTAAGAAACTGGTCCCTCCCTGACATCTTTGGTACACTTGTATTAAAGATAACTCAGTTTGCTTGCTTTACACTTAGAAAAACACTTAGTATGTGCACAACTCAACGGTTTATTCTTCAGTCTTTGCTAACTTAAAGTTTCTACTTCTAAAGAAAAAAGGTAAAATTTTAAATGTTTGTGGATTTTTTTTGCCCCCTGGCCTCCACCTTCAAAATTTTCACCAAAATTATAATCTAAGTTTCCAGGAATGCACACCAGTACATCTAATTAAATAGGAAAATTTCCCTGTGTAGTACTTGGGTTACCTTTTTGGCTCTTAAACATTAAGAGTCTGGGAGATATTTGCAAAGGTGATACTGAATCAAGGTTGCTAAGGACATGAAGGAGTTAATAAAGTTTCTAATACTGTTAGAATCATAGCTCTGTTGTGGTAGAATTTATTTATAAGATGCTATTAGCCTTAAAATGTTACAGAGATGCTTTGAAAAGGAGTCCTGCAGCAATCATGAGGGGTGGGGGGGAAGCAACAGAAAACCCAAGACAACATAAAACCAAAAAAACAAAGCAAATGATCTGGAATTCACCACTCTGTCTCCAGAAGATTCTACATTAAGGAAAATGCCTGGGTGTTGAAACATCCTTTAGAATCTTAAAAGGATAAGATGTATTATTTGGTTAAATTGCAAGTATCAAGAAGAAGGATCACTAATAAGGAGATGCTCACTGCTCATTGTTCTAGTAACAATAGACTCAAATGAATAATTGCGTGATAACAGGAGATAGGGCTTCAGTTTATCATAGAAATACTCTTAATTAGACTTGCTACACTAGTGTATGTCTCATCTGAATTACCCATGTATTGTTGATAAACTTTATTGGATTATTTTACATATCATGTATTCATCTTGGTCTGATCAAGGCCTGCTTGTGCAGTGCAATTTGCTGACTATGGTTGGTTGGTTGTCTGGTGCATTGAAGTTCATCAGCCCCCAGTTCTAATTCAGGACGTCACTGAGGTATGAATAGATTAGGTTATTCTGCAGCCCAGAGGTTGATCCTTTATTAGCTCTTCAGTATTTGATAATTATAATGAAGATCACAAAACTGCAAGATCTAATTAAGTTTGGAACTTTCCAAAATTGACTTTCTGTAGAAAATTTCATGCTGAATGAATGTGACAATCCAGAAAATTAAAGAAATAGCCTCTTGCATGACTCTATTTCATTTTCCTCTTCATACATAGAAGCATAGAATCCTGGGGCTAAAAACAGGGTTGAACAACTTCCTAAATTAAGAACAATTTTGCACATGGCCAAGATTTTAATGTCTATTCCCATCCAAGAAAATTTGTACATAATAATGATTCTTGTGGGTTAAGGCAGTTTAATTTTCTGTGTTTTAACCTTGCTTTATCCTCACATCATCTGAGTTAGGTAAAAGAGGTGTTTGGATGCTACCTTCTAGTTGTCTGACCACACATGGAGCTAGTAGACTGGGTTCGATTAGTAGTAAGATAACTTTTTGGAACCACAGTTTCTTCCTCTGAAAAATAGGGATGATAATACTTCACAGGGTTCTCGTGAGGATTAGGAATTGTCTCTAGTGAGTGCAACCTTTCTAGTCCAGTGTTGCGGTGATTCCCTCATCTACTGGTTCTTATTGGCTCTGAGCAAGAACGCTGCCCTAGGCAGACAATGGTCCTATTTCCAGGAAAATTTCTCCCATCCATTCTGGACTGTGGGAATGAAGTCATGTGAGCATCTCAGCAACTATGTTTACTCTTAGGATTAGGAGCTGCAGGAACCAATTCAGCTGTGTTTTCTCTCATGAATACAAATACAACCGAGAAAGCTAACTGTTAACCACCAGATCCCATATAAATTTCGTCCAGAAAATTGACATAGGGGTTCATAATGCCCCTCTTTTTTATAGGATGATAGACTGTCTCAGACAGTGCACTGGATTTCTGTCAGGTCCACTTTATTTTATTTATTTATTTATTTTTGTTAGGTCCACATTAAACACGTGTGTCATACTCTCAGCTCTTCAGCAGGCCTTATCAGAATAGCTTTCTAGGTTGTATTCTGACAACTCAGTCTCATTCTCCTCTTTCCCTCCTGATTTGATCATGTTGCAGATGCAGGCTGGTCTGATCTAAGAGGGCTGAACTCTTGCCAATGTGATGTGATTTGAGAGCCTAAGAAGGATTGCCCCATAATGTAGGGGCCTCCCACGTCTTCTACCCTCACCCCCAGCCTGGTGTCGCTCATAGGAACCAACTCAGCAGAGACTGATTCCTTGGTAATCAAAAGCTTGCTATCACTCAGCTGTACTCTACCCTGGATGATTCATTGGATTCTCTGAATGGGCTAGAAAGATGAGGAAAATCCCAGTATAATAAGATGCAGGGCAGTTGGGATTTTATTGTGCAAAGTAGTAGAGCAAAGGAGGGTCTTATGATCACCCAAGGAGAGAACCCTAGTCAGATGCTGGGGAGCCCGGAAACCGGTGGGTGGAGAATCCCAATGTTCAGCTGGGAAGGGAAGACAGCACAAAATGCCAAAGACTGTCAGTACGGTTTCCTCGGGGCATTCCTGCCATTAAGCCTTTCTTGATATACTCCTACCTGGCAGGAATCTGGAGTCCTTTCAGCTCACCTTCTCACTCCATGTGCTGGCTCTTCTCTGGCTTAGATCATTGCCAATGCTTATTTTGGACTCTTGGCAAGAACAGCTATAGGCTCACCATGTGGGGAGTTATATTCTGTTCTCCCAATCACTCTGCCTCCCAGTGTCCCAAGGCACTTATTTTATTGTTATTCTGAGAGGACGCGGGAGGAGAGAAGTTAACTGTCACACTTTCCTTTCTGTTCTGTTTCCTTTTCTCCTTGGTAATCCTCACCAGCACAAAACCAGAATTCATTCCACATCTCCATATACTGGATGAATATGTCCTAATGTGTAATTGTATTGTATTTTGCCATTCATTTATTCAACAAATATCTATTTATTTTTAAACTTTTTATTTTCTATTGGAGGACAGCTGATTAACAATGTTGTCATAGTTTTAGGCGGACAGTTGGTAAAGAATCTGCCTGAAACACAGGAGACCCCAGTTGGATTCCTGGGTTGGGAAGATCCCCTGGAGAAGGGATAGGCTACCCACTCCAGTATTCTTGGGCTTCCCTTGTGGCTCAGCTGGTAAAGAATCCGCCTGCAATGTGGGAGACCTGGGTTTGATCCCTGGGTTGGGAAGATCCCCTGGGGAAGGGAGAGGCTACTCTCTCCATTCTTCTGGCCTGGAGAACTCCATGGACTGTATAGTCCATGGGTTCACAGTCAGACATGACTGAGCCACTTTTACTTTCACTTTTCAGACAGACTCAGTCATACATATACGTATATCCATTCTCTCCCATCAACAAATATTTGTTAAACTTCTAATCTGTACCAGGCACTGTTCTAGGTATTGGAGATACATCAGTGGGGAAAAAAATGCAAATAAAAGCCCTTGCTCTCATGGGTCACATGTGCTGGTCGACTAGATAATACATAACATTAACAAGGTAGGAGGCACTTTACATGCATTGGTTAGTTCAGTACATGTTGATGGATGTTGTCATTTTCCTCCTGTTGCAAATGAGGGAATTGAGGAAAATGACTTGCCCAAGTCTTGCTGCTAAGGATTGGGCTGAAATTTCAACCCAGCCATAAGGAAGGATAGTCAGAATGGTGCTTCCCATATTTTAGGTATATTGTGATACTAAGACTCTAATGGTTCCTCTGATGATAAATAAACCTTTCAGAGCAGGTGTAGAGCTCTCCTGTCTTCCAGTTTTCTTTCTCTGTGTTAAATAGAATAGATGTGTTGAAGTGTTAGGTCTGATGTAAAACCCTACATGTGTCACATGAGAGAGAAAAAAAATAGACAAAATGTATCCTGTGTTTTCAGATGGATTAGGCACAGAATGTCTGAGTGACTCTGAGTGAGTTTCCTCATAATTGGTTAAAATTTAAGAAAATCAAGAACCAGGGAAATGTATAGTCACCCATAATTAAAAGATCCCTTGCTCACCTATCAAACTTCCTGAGTTGTTGACCAGGGAACCCAAACTCTATCATGCAGTAGATTATTGTTTAGAAATAAGTTATCAGCCTGTTACCTATATTTTATGAAGTGAAGGACTCTGGGGAAACAACTCTTACAAAACCAAATACCTTAAAGTATCTGTGGGACCAGACATCAGTGCCTGAAATGTCTACTACTTACAATGTTTCATCATGTAAGAGCCTTCATTAAAAACCATGTGTATATTAGGGATAGTTAGATCTGTTGTGAGTTAGGTTTTAATAGTTCACTGGAAGAAATGGGGAAAACATAAAGCAGAATACGGTTAGATGATATGTCAACTAAAAACAAAGGAGAGGGACTTCTCTGGTGGTATATTGGCTAAGGTTCTGTACTTCCAGTGTGGTGGGGATTGGCCATCCATGGTTCCATAGGTTGGAACCATAGGTTCCATCCATGGTGGGGAAACTATGATCCCACATGCACACAACACTTCCAAACAAACAAAAACATAGGAGAAAATAAACAAAAGGATGGCAAGAGTGCTCACTTTTCAATCTTTCTTCAGGTGTTCCTGGCAAAGCTTTGTCTGTCTTCTCCACCAGAATGTAGAATCCATGAAGCTGATCCTTTGTTCTGCTCATCACTTTCTTTACAGAGTCCAAGTCGCTTAGGCGTGTAACAGGAGCTCAATTGGTATTTGTTGAGTTAATGGTTAAGTGAACATCAACAGAGTAAAGGAAATAATATGTAATTGCTGAATGGAAGTTTCCATTGGCATAATCCTCAATACTTAGGGAAGATCTCATTTCAAGATCAAGACAGTTACAACACTGGGTTTTAATTTTATTGTCTTTGGTGACTGTCATCTATACCACTGGAGTTTAAACTCAGGACCAGGAGGGATATTGTTTGTTTTCTTCTTTCTTAAACCACTATTGAATAAATGAATTGGCAGGCGAAAACAGGAGAAAACAACAATGAATTAGGTAGTAAATAAGATATACTGCATCATTGTTATGAACCAAATCAACAGTTTTATTTGAGAATGAGAAGAAAAGAACAGAGGGATGTAGAAAGAAGAGTGCATTCTTTGAAGTCTATGTTTTAAAACTTTATTCCTCTAGTGCTTTGAGTCCACTTGTGTACAATTGACTCCCAAAAAATGTTTATTGATTGCTTCATTGATTCATCTCTCACTCCGAAGCCAGCAATCCTAACTCGAATAAAGCCCCAATTAAAAATGGATTAGAAATAATCATTTATTTACTTTTCACTGTGCTCATATCATTGTCTCATTTCTGCATGTTGTTAGAACCAATAGGCAAATCACTAGAACTCTAAAACTCACCTCTTCTCCTCTCATACTCCCTTACCATCCCAGCCATCGATTCCTCATGCAGTCATTTACCTATATAACAGATATCTATTGGGCACCAATACAAGGTCTGGCATATTGTCAATAGACAATTTTTTAAAAATATATTTTTTTAATGTGGAGCATTTTTTTAGTCTTTATTGAATTTGTTACAATATTACTTCTGTTTTATGTTTTGGTTTTTTGACCACAAGGCATGTGGGATGTTAGCTTCCCAACCAGGGATCAACCACATACCCTCTGCACTGAAAGGCAAAGTCTGAAAATCACTGAACTTCAATAGAAGTCCCTCAACAGACAACTGACTTTGATTTGGAAAAGCACCCTCTTTGCAGTTTAGAAGATGAGTTGGAAGAATGTAAGGCAGGAGGACCTTAAGTTTGTCTTGAGAAACCTTTGATTATACCACATCAGAATAAAGCTCTTAACTCTACACCCTCCAAAAAACTGTTTGTCTGTTTATGACTTATGAGTATGGGATCTTGTACTCATAGATTATATACATCATAAAACATACACAAAAATAGAAATTTTAAAAGGATACATAAAGTTAAAATTTTTTTCTGTTATATTATTTTCTACTCTAATTAACTAGCATCTTAAGGTATAACATACACTTTGGAACAGTATGGATATAAATCCTTATTTCAGTTTCTATAATTTTGAAACTTTCTTTCTGAATTTTTGTCAGATAAGATTGGATATTAATTGTTGATATCTCATTATGCAGCTTCCAAAGGGCTTATTCTAGATATAAAGAATGGGTTGTGCTTACATTGGCTTGAGTTTGCTTATGCTTGCATCTTTAGGATAGTCTTAATTTATATTTGTTCTTGTTTTTGGCAATAATCCTTTTAAGCTTCATGTCACTTGGTAAGAGCTGATGTTGTTAAAGGAGATAATATGGTATAGAAACCCACTTGCTAAGTACTGTGTTACTTGGGATAAATTGAAAGTAAATAAAAGTGTTGGTACAACACCATCAACCCCTCCATGTTATAGAACTCTCACTCTTCCTGCAAGATTCCTTTGCCAATCTGATTTGATATTTGAACATCTGATGTGCAGACCAAGAAAGGGTATGGAATACATTTGTATATTCCATAAAGTAAATTTTTCTACATCTTTTGGGTAAAAAATAGAACAATCTAGTATTTTTCTTCCCATACCCCAGGGAATTATATTGGGAGCCTCTGGGTTTCACAGGCTTACTTTTGAGGTCATTGCCCTAGGAAAATATAAGAAGCAGAAGCAAGTGAATGTGCTCTTAAAGCCTTATTCTTTTAATGATTCTTGTTCAAGTAATATTTTTAATTTTGGTTTTTTCAGTTTCTTGCACTACAAATGTTATTTTCGTCCACACCTTATATCTGAAGCACTGAAAGGTGTAATTGTATAACAATTTCAGGTTATTTTAATTTTCTTGTTTGTAATAAGAATATTTTCTAAATGTTATATCATGACATGCATCGTGAGGTATAAATAATGAAATCTAATCACAGCTGACAAAAATTCAGAAATATTAAATAACCTAATTAAACACAGAAAGAAATGTTTAAAATATTTTGTGTTTATTTTTCAAAGATCTAGAAAAGTACGTTACTTCTGAACTTAGACTTTTGTATGTTACATATTGGAAATACTTGGCAGTTTATGCAGGATAGTGTGAAAAAAATCTGAATCCTGTCTGACATTTTAAAACTATAATATGCTTCTGAGAATTTTCATTTATTATGTATATATATACATTATATTATATATACCACATTATACATTTTAAAACAGTAACATATTGCTACATTAATTGTTTGTGAATTATATATCCTTTTATATTTCATTTTTCTTTCAGCAATTCAATTCTATCTTACCCAGCAGCTGCAATAGCAATAATGGAAATTAATGTGGTTTGTTGACTTTTAGTTCATAAAATGTTTTCACATGTATCTACTCATTTGATGATTCCAAAATTCTGAGGTAGGTAATAATATTATTAGTAGTGCTAATTTTATACCCCGTTTTATAGGTGAAAAAATTAACAGTGACGTGACTTGCTCTGTTGTTTTTCTCGGTCATGCCTGACTCTTTGTGACCCTATAGTCTGTAGTCTGCCAGGCTCCTCTGTCCATGTAATTTTCCAGGCAGGAATACTGGAGTTAGTTGCCAGACCCTACTCCAGGGGATCCTCCTGACCCTGACAGGATCGAACCTGCATCTCTTGTGTTTCTTGCAGTGGCAGGCAGATTCTTAACCACTATGCTACCTGGGAAGCTCAAGGTCTTCATGTCCAACAAGTACAAGAGCTAGGACTTGAAACCGCATGATTTTTTTTCCCCCACAAATAAATACTCTGTATTCTCTTTGTTTATCAATTCAGTCGCCCAGTTGTGTCTGACTCTTTGTGACCCCATGGTCACAGGCTTCCCTGTCCATCACTAACTCCTGGAGCCTACTCAAGCTCATGTCCATTGAGTCAGTGATGCCATCCAACCATCTCATCCTCTGTCATCCCTCTCTCCTCCTGCCTTCAATCGTTCCCAGCATCAGGGTCTTTTCCAATGAGTCTGTTCTTTACTTCATGTGGCCAAAGTATTGGAGTTTCAGCTTCAAGAATGAATGAATATTCAGTCCTTCCAATGAATATTCAGGACGTATTTCCTTTAGGATTGACTGGTTGGATCCTCTTTTAGTCCAAGGGACTCTCAAGAGTCTTCTCCAACACCACATTTCAAAAGCAGCAATTCTTTGGCGCTCAGCTTTCTTTATAGTCCAACTCTCACATCCATACATAACTACTGGAAAAACCATAGCTTTGACTCGGCGGATCTTTGTCGGCAAAGTAAATGTCTCAGCTTTTTAATATGCTGTCTAGGTTGGTCATAGCTTTTCTTCCAAGGAGCAAGTGCCTTTTAATTTCATGGCTGCAGTCACCATCTGCTTAAAACTCAGCATTCAGAGAACTAAGATCATGGTATCCGGTCTCATCATTTCATAGCAAATAGATGGGGAAACAATGGAAACAGTGAGAGACTTTATTTTTTTGGGCTCCAAAATCACTGCAGAAGGGGACTGCAGCCATGAAATTAAAAGACACTTGTTTATCAATAACATTGTGCAATGATTTTTTTCCTTGATTAGCAGCTCTAGCAGCACGTATAGGGGAAAGAGGTTAGACTTTTCAAAACACTTCAAATGTTTAAACATGAAACATACAAAAATTTTTAAAAAACAGAAAATAATGTAATACACATCCACATATCAACTATGACTTTAAATAGCTGTTAATATTTTGCAAAAATCATTTCACATCTGCATGTTTAAATACATCAATTAATACTGTTATGTTTATATCTAAGGCCCTATGTCTCATTCCATCTCCCTTCCTATTCTAGAATTATCCAGCAGTTGTAATATATTATCCCCATATGTTTTTATACATTTTTATATAAATATCATTATTCAGATATTTTAAAAACATATGCATATCTTTCTTTGTATGTTTGTGGCATTGTGCCATATCTTTTAATTGACAATTTGCTTGTTTTTCAACTCCATAGCATGATGTGAGGATTTAATTCAGTCATTTACAAGAGTGCTGTTCAGTATTCCTTTGCATGAATAAGCTATATTGCATTGTCTGGTTGAGGGCAACTTGGGTGTTTATGCTTTTTTTTCTGTCACAAACAACAGTATAGTAATTGTTCTTTATATGTCTCTGTTTTCATACATTTAAGAAACTTTTAAAGTAGGCATCTAAGAAGAATAATTGCTGGATATTAAGATAGGTACATCATGGACTTTACCAGGTAATTCAAAATTGTTCACCAAAATGGAAGTACCAACCTACACTCTAATCAGAATGTCCATATTTCAATGACATTCACTTTTCTGTTCTAACAGGCTATTTACTTTTGCCAATTTAATGAATATGGAATGTTACTTCATTATTTAATTTTTACATCCTTGATTATTAGTGAAGTTGATAATTTAAAATATTTTATCAGCAAGACATGTTTATTTTATGTTTCCTTTTATAGCTTTTTCCATTTTTTTCTATTGAATTACATATCTTTTTCATATTGATTCACGGAAGCTTTTATATATTCTGGATTATAATCAGTTTTTAGATGCAAAGATTATAAATATCTTTTAATTTGTGGCTGGTCTTTTTTTTTCTTCTTTTTTTCATTTATTTTGTCTTACAAACACTTTTTTTTATGGTTTTTTTTTTCATTTATTTTTATTAGTTGGAGGCTAATTACTTTACATCATTGCAGTGGCTTTTGTCATACATTGAAATGAATTAGCCATGGATTTACATGTATTCCCCATCCCAGTCCCCCCTCCCACCTCCCTCTCCACCCGATCCCTCTGGGTCTTCCCAGTGCACCACTGACAAACACTTTTAAAGTAATATTTATCAGTCTTTTCTTCTATGAACCCTATTTTTCATAGCTTGTTTAGAAAAATCTTTCCTCTCTCTCTAAATTCTTGCACAGGAATCCTTAAATCTTGTCTCATTTGAAATACACTCTACTTTCTTCATGATGATGAGATCCGACTTAAACCAGCATTTAAAAATTTTAAAGCAAATGGTAGGAAAGAAGCCAGTTGGAAAAGGCTCCCTCCCCTATGGAGCTTCCCAAATGTGTGTGTGCTCAGTCGGTCAGTCATGTCCGACTCTTTGGGACCCTAGGGTAGCCTGCCAGTCTCCTCTGTCATGGGATTCTCCAGACAAGATTACTGGTGTGGCTTGCCATTTGCTTCTCCAGGGGATCTTCCCGACCCAGGAATCCAACCATGTCTCCTGCATCTCCTGCACTGACAGGCAGATTCTTTGCCACCATTTGAAAGTGATGGGAATTAAGGAAGTATTAGAATAGAGCTATTTTTACAATTCAGAGATAACTTATTGCTAACCAGAGTGCCTAGCCTGGTATTGGTTTATGCCTGCTGTCCTGGGATCGTTATTAACAGTATCCTCTATCACTCTAAAAAAATATGCCATTTGGATAATAAATTACATGACCACTCTGGTGATAGCCCTACATGCTGGACTATCAACAAGGGATATACAGATTTCTACTTGACTAAAACAGGTTGGAGGGTGGTTTATAGATGTTTTCCCAGGTTTCCTCATTCTTGGTAAAAGAAGCAGCTTGAATTTCAGCATGATCATTACCTCTGGCTCTGGGCTCAGAAATGACAGCTATAATTAATAACTGGGAGAAAAATCATAGTTTATACTAGGAGACAAGTGTGGTGTCAGTAGAGGTGTGTTAGAAAGCAACAGACCTTATTCACTGGGAAAAGAAGTGGAAATATTTCTTCTTGATATGAAGGATGGAGATAAGTTTTCCCTTCTCAATTCTTCCACTCTCGCTCTGCTCCACTAGCCCCTGTAAGGAATAAGCGTATATGAACTTTAGTATCAA